TTAGAATTGTTCGTTATTGTAGTATTGAGTATTACGCATGCTCGCTGTTTGGATATGCAGCCCGGAACCCACATCAATCAGTGATTGTTGTCCTACCAACATAGCCACAAACTGATGACCAATGTCTGTAGTTTAGCAGTCAGGGAACTTGTCGTAGGACACAGAAGACGAGAGTTCGATTCCGAAAAGGTAAGGTTGTTCCGCTCTTGTTCTTATTGTCCCTTTTTTGCTGTCTCTCTCTCTCTCTGTCTTTGTCTCTCTCTCTCTCTCTCTCTCTCTCTCTCTCTCTCTCTCTCTCTCTCTTTTTTTCTCTCTGAGAATGTTCATTGAGTGTCTTGGTCTTTTTGCTGGGATGTTGCCTGGGTAACTGGGTAGGAAATGGCGTTAGTTTCTTTTTTTACAATTCAAATTTTTCTCATGACTAAATGCAGGATTTGTCATACCGCACAACCTACAGTTCCAAGTAAAGCATCGCTTTAATAAATCAGAATAACACTTAGAACCATTAAATATTATGTAACTTTTCATCCATGATATATATTTAATTCAAGACTAGTTACATTATGCCAGTGTGTTTATGGTACAAATATAATCGTACAGAAATATAGCCCAATCACGATCCATTTTGACCTTCAATCTTTACAAGAAATATTTTAAAAACATTGGTTTCAGTGTAAAGACCGCTCCTTGCCGTAAAACCAGCCTTGGTTAAGGATGATAATCTAATTTTACATAAATCAACTTCAAATCCGAATTGTTTTAGTCAGGAAGGGTTTAATGGTTTGATATGAAACTATCAGATCTTGTAATTTCAAAGCGGAAAGAAAAGAACAACCTGTTCTAAATAATAGGAGGCAAAGGTAACATTTTATCGCAATAAGGAAAGGTAACTACAACGGCATTTTGCAACAGACAAGGACTTTAGAAAAAGGTTAAGGCCAAGGAGATTAAAAGATTAGTTCTAAACTCCTTGGTTAAGGCGTACCGCACACATCATCAAAAAGTTTGCTTCTTTGATAGGGTTTTTTTTTTCTCAAAAAGTGCACGACTCTGATGTTCTCCTTTTTCAATTTTGCAGTCTCAACAGAAAAGTGTCTATTCTCTCCCTGTAAATAAGTAGAATAACACCGCATTTGCGATAATATTCACGCACGAAGAACATCTTCCTCACCCAAAACAAAACAAAACAACCCCCCCTCCCTAACACCCCAAAAAAGAACACAACAACAAAACAAAAAAACAACAACAACAACAATAACAACAATAACAACACAACAACAAAACAACAACAAAAACCCTAACCAAACGCGCTAATAAGCAAACAGAAAATGGAGAATAAAACAAAACAAACCGCACACAACAGCCCCCCCCCCCCCCACACACACACAATAAAATAAAAAATATACTGTTTAAATCAACGACAATCGGCAGACAAATTATAGAAAATAAATGGCACTAATAAACAAATCTAAAAACCAAGAACTTTTATTTCCAAAACAAGAAACGAATTGATTTTATAATCATAACCAATTTCTGGTAGTAAAGTACTTTGGGAAAAAGAGGCGGAAGAAGGGGAGGGGGGGGGGAATCAACTAACAAAGAGAGAGAAAAGAGTGGGGGAGCAAGAGAGAGAGAGAGAGAGAGAGAGAGAGAGAGAGAGAGAGAGAGAGAGAGAGAGAGAGAAAGAAAGAAAGATAGAGAGCGAGATAGAGGGGGGTGTAGAAAGAGAGATAGAGATAGATAGATAGATAGATAGATAGATAGATAGATAGATAGATAGATAGATAGATAGATAGATAGATAGATAGATAGATAGATAGATAAGGAGAGAGACAGAGAGAGAGAGAGAGAGAGAGAAAGACAGAGATACAGAGAGAGATATTCTTCTTCCATTACTTTGTCATAATATCTAGAAAACACCAACGTTGGTATAGAAGTATAATATGTGTCCGTTGGAAATCCTCGTAGAAGAGAAACTAGAGAGAACAAGAGAGAGAGAGAGAGAGAGAGAGAGAGAGAGAGAGAGAGAAAGAGGGATAGTCTTAGAGAGAGGGGAGTAGGGGTGGATATATTAATTTAGGACGAGACCAGTGTGTATTATTCCGCAGCCATTGCACTGTTGTATCTAGAAAACACCAACAGAGAAATTGAGTATGTATACCCTGTGGATGTCCACAAGGGGAAAAACCCGCTCCAGTCATTGTAACCATGAAAGACGAGAGGTGAGGGGACGCCGAAGTGTTTCTGTTTGAGCTGTGCCTCGTACGTCTGAGAGTCGATGTATCCCCGGACAGCCAGCAAACTCGTGCCATGTGGGAAGTGCGTCCAATCGTGTATCGTTGTACCGTTGAGGAACTCAAACCTGTTCGCTGGATACCAGAACGGTATGGTCTGGAAGATGGAATGGGAAAGGGAGGGGGAGGGGGGTAATTGGGGAAACCGAGGGGGGGGGGGGGAATACAGAGTGATATTTATTGTATATAATTTTACATTCTTACCACACAATAATCTGAAAGGGGGAGAATACAACGTGGTATCACCGCCATACAGTGTCAGATCTGAAATAGACATCGGCAATAGATCATCGTTCGTTATTCATTTTTCTGCTCGGATAATTATACCAAACAATTTGGAAAAGACAGATGCAGTTTCTGGGACACTGGAATCGACATAAAGGCATACCATACTTGTCATTTCCCGTTACTCATCTATTATAAATTTCCACGTAAGTTGCTCAGGGTCTTCCCCTCCCTTGTTGGCCTTACATTTTTCCAATGACATCAAAATGTGCAAGGCCTTTATGTCGATCCAAGTGTTCCAGAAAGTGCGATCGTCTTTTCCTAATTGTTAGGACAGCTAATTATTTTTTAATCAAATGAATCCCTGAGGGAAAAAAGCGATATCTAAGAATCTATTCCTAATATTTGGGAATCTTATTATTATTATTATTATTATTATTATTATTATTATTATTATTATTATTATTATTATTATTATTATTATTATTATTATTATTATTATTATTATTATTATTAGTAATAGTAGTAGTAGTAGTAGTAGTAGTAGTAGTAGTAGTAGTAGTAGTAGTAGTAGTAGTAGTAGTAGTAGTAGTAGTAGTAGTAGTAGTAGTAGTAGTAGTAGTAGTAGTAGTAGTAGTAGTGTTCTTGTTGTTGTTGTTGTTATTGTTATTGTTGTTGTTGTTGTTATTATCATTATTATCGTTATTATTTTATCGTTATTATTATTATTATTATTATTATTATTATTATTATTATTATTATTATTATTATTATTATTATTATCATTATTATTATTACTGTTATCATTCAATCGAAGGAATCCCTAAGGCAGAAAAAGCTACCTATTCAGCTTTAGAATGTATTCTGTTGACAGTTGATCGTACAAGAGGTTAATGATACAAAGTAAACAGTCGTTTATATCAACAATAAAAAAAACAAAAACAAAAAAAAAGACAAAAAAACTCAAACGTTTTACGCTGCATTAACATTATTCAGATCATAATAATACAAGAAACGGCCGGGTTGCTTTGATTCTGTCTGTCAGAGCCAGCCTGGCGGCTAGAGAGGGGCACCGCATTCCAGCAGACGGACGAAGAAACTAAAAAAAAAGAAATTAATTTCTCCATTTAGGAGTCGAACTCAAAGTCCTCTGCGTCGAGCGGGGAAGAGCCTTAATTGTTACAGCACAGACGCTAGCATTATATAACGAGCGTGGGGAAGAGATGGGGTATTGCAGGGACGACTGTCATTCACAACAATAAATGTGTGGCATTGTATTGAAATCAGGCGATCGTCAAAATAGCCTACTGAAGTCGAAGAATAATGGGCATTTTCACGCCAATTTTTATCTAAATTTTGTTTTTTGGCTAAACACCTTTTATGTTCTTATGAAAACACATTTCCATATAAACGTTATTGGAAAACCTTGTTTAAAGGCATAACATAATAATATGTAATTTTAAGTTTTCAAGGACTGTTTAGCTATTGAAGTTACCAAACTTTTTAGGCCATTTTATCATTATCCACAGAAGCCAGGCTACCCCTCCTTCTTGAACCTTCTTTAATAGCAAATATCTTGACTTCTATTCAAGCTAAAGGGATATTTTTTTACTGACAGCAAAGCTAATGAATAAGCTTTCAGACGATATCAATAACTCCACTTACCTAAAAATTGACGAGCGCCTGATTCCACTACGTTGTGACACAAGTGTTCTCTTTTCTAAAGCCAAACAGCCGGTCTAGTGGGTGGGTGGATGCTGTCGCTTGTATCTCCCACTTCTTTTTTCCTCCTCAATTGTTTCATAGTACTCGGTTTTGTTTGCTTTTTGTTATTTGCTTCGTTTTAGTGTTTTTTCTTTTCTCCGGGAAGAAACTGACCTACGTACACAATGCTTCTCTTTACTTTACTCAAATTTCTATCGTTGCATTGTACGAGTATTATATAATAATATGCGTTTTCTATTACACACACACACACACATACACACACACACACACACACACACACACACACACACACACACACACGCACACACTCTCTCTCTCTCAACACACACACACACACACACAACTATCTATCTATCTATATATCTATCTATCTATCTATCTATCTATCTATCTATCTATCTATCTATATTATATAGATTTATATATATATATATATATATATATATATATATATATATATATATATATATATATATCATATTAATATAAATTATACAGTCGCTGCATCACAGTCGAACCTGCCTTAATGGAAACCTGTATAAGACAGAAACCTGTCTTAACGGAATCTCCCAGCTCCCCGATTGATAAATTCCTCTTTAAATACCTTGTAACACGGAAACCAGTGTAACGCAGAAACGGAAAGAAGAATCCGCTCCCTCCTGAGGGTTTTTACCTGCATAAGACGGAAAACGCTTTGCCCGTTAAGCCCTGATTTGAAACAAAACTCGACAGGTCGGGTCCGGCTGGCTCTAACTCTAAACGTTACGCCGTGTTGCCAGACGAGGAAGGGGAGCAGGGATCGAGGAGGTTATACAGTAAGGTTGTAAGGCCCTTAGTAGGGATGCAACTTAGGGGTAAGTGAGCCCTGAGTGGTGCAGATGTTCAGGATGGTGTGGGTGTGGAATCTCACGCGTGCCAGTGAACGAGCTCGCGTGGCGCTCCAGCACGGAAGCTTTCACGGGTAGCCACGAGAGTCCAAAGGTGTGAAATTAGTTTGACCAATGTCTGTCGCCCTCAACGTATAGAGATAGCCCAGAAAAGGTTGAGGGATGGGCATGGCATTGGTTGACTGTGCTTGTTACACTGATATGTGGGGCTAAGGCCTTAAGTTTAGAAGCGAAGGAGATGTTCAAACGTTTCTGTTTTTAGTAGGTCAAACAGTGGTCCAATGAAATACTAGCACAGGTGGTAATAATGGATAAGTGAGACTGACGCATGCCATTATCAGAGAGGAAAGCACTTGAGAGGTGTGAAGCTTTGACCATTGCTTGCCGACCAGAAAAGCGACCCTTGATCCACCTGTTGGGCCTTTGAATTTGAAACACCCCTCCCTCTCCCCCCAAACTCCCCGACGGAACTTTGTATAACATATTCTGCCCCCTGGTATTCCTTTACTTTCCCTCCCGTCTTACACTTTGCTACTAGATGTCTATTTTGTATTACTATTGATGCGCTGAACATGAATATCCAATTTACTAATGGATTATTTATGCTTTGAAAAAAAAAGCAACAGCACATCGAAAATATAAAAAAGGAAGAAAAAAACTTTTAGGAAGATGAAATAGTCTGTAGACACTCACATTAAGTAACAGGGCGTTTTTTGTGAGTCAGTGAGTGTGTGTGTGTGTGTGTGTGTGTGTGTGTGTGTGTGTGTGTGTG